TTTAGAAACTAGCATTTATTGAACTGTTACTGCATGCTAAGCTACTTCCAAGCATTTTCTAGGAGAGAAATTTGGTACCTTCCCAAAGAGGATATAATGAGTGGAGGCTAATTCATATCTAATCAGTCGACTGCTAGAAATCAGGCTCTTCGCTTCCATGCTTATTTTAATTAGGTGTGACAGTGTAAGATGAGATGTAATTGATTTTGATATTATGACTCGTTTGAAATTTTTTTTCTCCTTTGAAATAGAGTGTCATATGTCCATGGATGGCCTTGAACTCAAGATTCTTCTGCCTCCATTCCCTAAGAGCTGAGATTACACTGGGAGCCATCTCTCCTAGCTTCCTTTTGTAAACTAAGAAATTGTGGGACAGCGGGATGGCTCAGTGGATTCAAGCCCTTGCTACATAAGTCTAATGACCTCAGTTCAGTTCCCTGGAATCCTCATAAGAAAGCTGATGTGGTGGCACGCGTCCGTAATCCCAGCATCCCTTCTTCAGTGAGAGGGCAGGCAGAGACCAGAGAACTGCCTGAAAGGTCAAAGGTCAACATGTCTCCCGTATATAGCAAGGCAGAAACAGTAAGAGAGATGGTGCCTCTAAACAAGGTGGAAGAAAACTGACCACTGAGCATTGACCTCTGATCTTCAGAGACCATGGCTTACAGTTGCACCCATGCCTACATGCCGTATATACAAGCACTGACGACAAGAATAATAAATAAAATAAAAAATATGGGTTTTGGTTTTGTAATTTCAGTGTTTTTCCTTTCTGAATGATAACAGAAAAGGTTGCAGGGTTCTAGCTACTTACACAACTATTACCGTTTGAGTCCCAGTAAATGAAATGCAAAATTGGAGTCACTGTAACATTTTTGTTAATTCTGATTTGATACTCGAAGATGTATTGATATTTCATTTTAAAATGGACTACCTGTGGGTTTTCTTAAAAAGTTTTTAATCTCTTAGAGCAAAGAGTATACTTGTATGGTTCAAAACCAAAAAATGTCTCTATTGAGAAATACCAACCCACTCTTGTATCTTCTAGCCTGCTTCTTACCATTTTCTAATCTCGTTATTAGTTGAGTAACATTCCAGTGTTTCTTTGGTCTCATCTCTCCTCTCTTTCTTCATAGATAGTCATTTTGTGCTTAAGAGTATAATCAAGATGTCTTGAGTTGTGACTCTTGGAATGCAATTTTTGCCTATCTGGCAAAAAATGCCCTTCGGCAGATTTTTACAAAAACCTTTACATGCCTTATTACCTTGCTTTATTTTGACATCAGTGTACGTTACACTTTCTCCTTTAGAAAAACAGACATGCATAATGTTCTTTGTCTCAAGAAAGGGGGACAGGGGTGAGCTAACTCCTGGTGGCAAGGACAAAAGCTTTTTTCCCATTTGTTCCATTATCTTTGGTACTAACACATTTCACAGATGGGAAAGTAGTCCTTTCCTCCCCTATCAAAGATACAGCTCCAAATACAAAATAAAGCACCCTAATTTTAGAAATTAAAACTACTATCTCGAAACCCCCCCAAAAAAAAGAGAAAGAAAGAAAGAAGGAAACAAAGAAAGAAAGAAAGAAATTAAAACTACTTTAGATTGACCAGTCTCTGCTTCCTAAGTTTGGATACAACTTGAGCAGCTGCCTCAAGCTTTTGAGACCAGGACCTCCCTGCCATGAAGGGCTGTATTAATGACTGAACTGTGAGCTGACATACTCTGGCTCCCCAACAACCTCTCCAAAACCCTGAAAGGCGAACAAACACACAAGCCCCTACTTTAATACGCTGAGCGTTTACTGTGTCCGGTACAAGGAGCATCAACTAACTTGGTAAGTTGGCTCTTTCTTTAGTGTTTGTGTCAGTTTTCTATTTGAGTAACAGAGTACCCAAGACATTCAACCGGTGATGAAGAATGGTTTGTTTTGAGCACTCGGTTTCAGAGGCTTAAGTCTGTGGTCAGGTGGAGTCACTGCTTTGGGACCTGTGGTTGGGTGGTGCATGTTGGCAGGGAGTATGCAGTGGAGCCCAGCTCTACAGACTCATGGCTGAGATGAAACAGAGCATGAGGGAGGAGCTAGTTCCCTTCAAGAGCATGCGTCTAATGACCGGAAGTCCTATCATGAGGTCCCGCCTTTCAAAGTTTTCACAAGCTGTCAACACAATGCTGGGACCAAGCCTTAAACACTCTGGCCTGTGATGGACTTCAAGGTCCAAATCCCGAAGCTTCATAGTAGAGTACTCCGTACAAACTAAGTACTTGGTATGTTTTTGTTAAACTGAGTTGACATAAATGCAGTTCAAATTTCATAAAAATCTGAGTGGCCGTGTATACAGGTGTGCTCTGAAGATACTTTTTGTTTTGTTTTGTTTTGTTTTTCGAGACAGGGTTTCTCCATAAAGTCTTGGCTGTCCTGGAACTCACTCTGTAGACCAGGCTGGCCTTGAACTCAGAAATCTACCTGTCTCTGCCTCTCAAGTGCTGGGATCAAAGGCGTGTGCCACCACTGCCCAGCTGAAGATACTTTTTTTAAAGGCTTATTTTATTTTTAATAATGAATATGGGGGAGATATGAATTTTTTTAAAAAAATTCTGGAGCTAAACATGTTATAACTAATCCTTGAACTTGGGCAGCAGGAAGACTGTCATGGGTTTGAGGCCAGCCTGTACTACATAATGAGTGAGACTCTGTTTCAGACAAACAAAAATGAACCAGACAGAAACCAAAACTGTTTCTGTAGCAGAAAACAGAGACAGTGGGTGCAACTTATGGGTCATGGCCCCCCTCCCCCCCAGGAAAGGACCTGTCTCTCAGCTCAAGTCACAGTATTCCAGGCTTTGTCACATGGTGGCTTTCTACAAGTCTAAAACCATCATAGATGTGATGGGAAGACATTAGCACACTTACCCACGTTCTCTGTTTTGGCAAAACTACACATAATCTACATCCAGTCTCCTTTACCATTTTCTGTTTTAAGATTTCTTTAGAATTTAGGAAGAATAAGTGTTTTATTTTTGGTAAGAACACTAAATCTGTAATTATTGTAAAAGGAACACATTACCTTAGCTGAATAAACGTGGAAGTTTCCAAAACTCCAGCACCGTAATTTCTGTTTATTTTGGAGACAGGGTTTCCTGTGGCTATTTACATAGCTATCATTTTTCATTGTTAAACATAACCATTCATTGCTTAAAATAAATCATGGGCATGGCTTTTCAAGATATAGGTTGTTAAATACCACCACCCAAAGTGTAATAAAAAAAAAAAAAGATCTATATAAGATCTATATTTGTGCTGGGCAGTGGTGGCCCGTGCCTTTAATCCCAGCACTTGGGAGGCAGAGGCAGGCAGATTTCTTAGTTTGAGGCCAGCCTGGTCTACAAAGTGAGTTCCAGGATAGCAAGGGCTACACAGAGAAACCCTGTCTGGAAAAACCAAAAAACAAACAAACAAAAAAAACCAAAAAACAAAAAACTATATTTGTGCAGTGTGTGTGTGTCTGTGTTTCCTGGTGCCCACTAAGGTTTGAAGAGGGCAACACATCTCCTGGAGCCAGAGTGCCATCCCCTGCAAGAACAGCAAGTACTCTTAACCTCTAAGCCATCTCTCCAATCTAAAGATGCTATTCTTTCAAAATGTAAAGAAATAGTACTTTAAGAAAAAAAAAAGAAAAAAAAAGAAAAAAAAAAAAGAAATCGTACTTTAGACTGAGAATAAGCCCAGCTGATTCAGATTCCCATATAGCCAGGTGTGGTGGTGCGCACTTTTAATCTCAGCACTTGGGAGGCAGAATTCCAGGCCAGCTTGGGTTCTGTAGTGAGTCTCTTTGTCTTAAAAAAAAAAAAAAAAAGGTTTCTGTACCCAATAGAGTTCTCCTTCCAATGAATAGGGCCACAAATGATTACAAACTAAACACAGTATGATCCATTAGGAAATGCCGTTATAATATACATATCCGTTCTGCAGTAAAATTGTACATATAATTTGGACACACGTTTCCACGATCTTTCCGTTTCTCTGGCCAAGCTTGGCAGGTCGCCGGTGGAGTAGCTGAAATCCACTTGTAGGTTGCAGCATCCCTAAAGCTCCGATTAGGCAATGTTTGTCTCACAAAACCAGCTCACCGGGTAGGAATAACTATACCACCAATCACAAGCTCTGTAATTACTGGCAACACAGCGTTAACAAAAAGACACAGAGTATGTGATTCAAGACTCAGCACGTTTGTGACAAAATTGCCCTTTGCAGAGGTGTTTGCTACTAAGCTAAAATTTAAAAACCTTGCAGAGGCCCCTTCGAGCATTGGTGATGAAAACCATATCTATTGTGGGAGATTGAGGACTGGTCTATTAAAACCAGAGTGTTTGACAAAATCGGAGTGGAGGACAGATTAGGCAGAGCTATTCCAATTCGCTTTAGTGAGCTGCAAAAATTATACAAGGACGTGATTTAATTTGAGAAGTTTTGAAGGTAGAATAGTATAGGATCTAACAACCGAAACACAGCCTACATGGTCTGGCATCCTAGAAAACGAGACAAGGCTTCTGCCAATAATGGGAAAGGAACATTTATGGAACACCTGATATGTGCGAAGTCATCTTTCAGACAAGAGACCATTTAAGGACTCCTAAACGATGATGGCGGAATTGGTCTTGTAGCTCAAATAGCACGTCATTCGGATTCCAAGTAAATAAGAAATATACTCAATACGTGGAAGGGAGGGGCAGGTTAAAAAAAAACGGAGGGAGGTAGCAATAAGGAAAAGGTACATTAAAAAATTCTTAAACAGATAACTGTATTTTTTTCAAAGTAAAACCTCTTCAACTAAGTAGTTTAGAACTAATAAAAACTCAGGAATGATATCTCCTGGAAACAGACAAACTTTAGCCGTGAAATACAAGCAAGTCCCTTAACATCCGAAAACACGTGGCGGGGGAGGGGAGCTGGAGGCTGGACCAAGGACTCCCACTCCCATCAGACCTCTCTGCATCCGAGCGTAGCTGTGGAGGGAGAGCCGACGCCTAGCATGCTGGGGCTTGTAGTCTTCTCCCGGCGCCTCCCCGTGGGTTTGCGACGTTTAGCGACTGTGGCGCCTGCGCGCGCTGGGCCGGCGGGGCTGGGGCCGTGGCGGCTCGTGCCGGGTGATGCTAGGCGTATCCCTGGGCGCTAGGCTGTTGCGGGACGTGGGTGGCAGGCGCGGGCAGTTCGGGGCGCGAGGTGTCAGCGAAGGTAGCGCAGCCATGGCGGCAGGGGAGAGCATGGCTCAGCGAATGGTCTGGGTGGACCTGGAGGTGAGAAAGTGCGGCCGTGGCGGGGAGGGTGCGGGGAGGCGAGCTCAGATTCGCGCGTGGGACCGAGAGACTCCCCTGTCCCGGAAAGCAGCAGGGCTCTGGGTGTCAGGTGCGACAGGTGAGCACGGCCTCAGGAGCCCCGAGCCAGGAGTTTTGCGGGGTTCTGGGACTGTGCTGGACTGTGGGGTTTCTTTCCATCTGGGTGGAGCCATCCATGTGTCTTCCCTCTCCCTAGCCTCGACCTCCACCCAGAAGTGAATTTGCCTTACGCTTTAGTGTCTCAGAGTTCAGGATCGTTGGTGAGAGTGGGGGCAGCGACTCCGAGCCCTGCTCCGTCCCCACCTCCTGTCCTTAAAAGACTAGGTTGCTTAAGCTAGGACTCAGGAGATGACTCAGCCTTACCCCTCATTCCATAAAAGAGAAAATTGAGGCCCCATTAGAAGATTCAAGTTACTCAAAGTCCACCGGGAACAGAGCCCTTTTTAGTTTTAACGCATTCATACCTAGGCCTCTCTCTCTTGAACCCCAGTTTTCTCCTTCCGAACTGAGTTTAGTTGTTAACTTTTTTGTTGGGAAAACTTAGGAAACCTTTGTAAACCTCAGCGAGGTTAGTGAGCTCACTTTTCTGTAATCGAGTGGTGTATTCATCCTGCTTACTTTGCATCTGTTCCCAGGACAAATAGAGTGTTTGACAGTAGCTGGCCGGCACAGTAAGTGCCTTTAGCAGTCTCTGAGAACTCAGAACTTACTACCCTGAGTACTGTCCAGAAACACCATTACTGATCATAGAATGTAAGCTGGGTATGCACAAAGGGATCTCATTTAAATAAACTTGGGCAGAAGAGATTAAAAAAAAATAAGATGGTTTCATGTGTTATATGCTTATTTATTTATATTTTGCAGATGACAGGATTGGACATTGAAAAGGATCAGATCATTGAGATGGCCTGTCTGATAACTGACTCTGATCTTAACATTTTGGCTGAAGTAGGTGATGCCACATAAATATATTCATACCACTTAAAGGGCATTGGGGATCTAAAGGTACCTTCTTCCAATCTAATTGAAAAACTTAGCAGACTGAGGTCCATGTAGATTAAGGCCCAGCGCAGTATACTAGGACAATGTAATATAATATGTTAGAGTTGATATTGGAACCAACATAATCCACTTCATAACCAGATTAAGTTTTCAGTTGAAATTTACAGACCCCTCTCTAACCCCCAGGCTACAGTAGTTTTGAAGGGTTTACATGTATATTCTTAGCCCTCATGATGATAAAATAGACTGTTAATGATATTCATTTTATACCTGAAGACATTAGGTTACAAGAGATTCAGGGGACTTGCTCAAGAGCATTTGGCTAGGTATTAGGGAAGCTGCCTGAGCTACTCTCTAAACCCAGGCAGTCTCAGCGCTACCACCAGTGTCCAGCCAGCTGTGTCCTCATCAGCTTGGTGTCCCCTGCCAGAGTTCCCCATCTTTAGGTCCTTACTTTGGCTTTAATTCCATATATAGTCACCCTTTTACCACTCCATAGGGGGTTCCTCTGTAGGGACCAAAATCTCATTTACCTGTATCCTTGAAGGAGATGCAGTCAGCACTTCCCATGTATTTTGAATCATCTCTAGATAGCCTGTTGTCATCCTTGTGCTGCCTATGACTACCTGGTAGTGTTTACACCCTGTGGCTTAGGGAATGTTAAGAAAACAAGTATCCATATGTGTTCCTTACAGACCAGTGACGTTTCCGTCTGAGCTGGTTGACTCCTCACTGATGACACCCATTGTTCCAGGTGGCTGCTTGCCTTTTCAGCTAGACTTCTTGCTTCATGCACATCTGTGTTAGGGTTCTAGAACAAGTTCTCACGGTGATTTTATCAGCTGTGATAACCCTCTGCATATGCTGCTCTGAACTGAAACATTTAGCAGAACAAATAGAGTAGATCTGTTGGCATTTACGTTTAAGCACTTGTGAAGCTTTTTTTTTTTTTTTTTTGGTTTTTCAAGACAGAGTTTCTCTGTGTAGCCTTGGCTGTCCTGGAACTCACTCTGTAGACCAGGCTAGCCTCGAACTCTCGAACTCAGAGATCCGCCTGTCTCTGCCTCCCAAGTGCTGGGATTAAAGACGTGCACCACCACCGCCCGGCTCGTGAAGCGTTTTAAAAGATGACATTCCTGACCTTGATATCATCCTCCTAGCAGATAGATGTCTATGAGTCTGAGACCAGCTTGGTCTGTGTGGCTAGTTCCTGGCCAGTCCTGGTTACATAGTGTGGGTGGAGAGATGGCTCAATAGTTAAAGCATGTACCACTCAATCATGAAGACAAGAATTTGTATCCTAGTACCCAGGTCTCACAAGCACCCGAACCTCCAGCTCTAAAGGACTTGATGGCCCCCTCCTGCCTTCCATGTGCCTGGCTGTACCATACACATGCGTACATAAAAAAATTAAATGAAACAACAGCAAAACCTGGAGAGATGGAGTTGGTATGCCTGTGGAAAGAAGAGTCTAGTTAATAAATTAGGTTCTCAGAGCGTAAGCTTGGTCGACACTAGAGCTGCAGACATTTCCTGTTTACAGTTAGAATGTCTTTTTATTCCCCGGGTAAGCAAAAGGACTTTTTATCCCCGGATAAGGCATTTTTAGCTGGTCACACTCTTTTAATCTCAGCATTTCAGAAGGTAGAAGCAGGGTGATCTGTGTGAGTTTGAGTCCAGGCTGGTTGACAGGGTAAGTTCCAGGTCGTCTTGGGCTATACAGTGAGACTCTGTCTCAAAACAGCAGCAAAACTAAAAAAAAGAACATCTAGAGGTGATTTCCTGCCTAGTAGTGGCATCAGGCTTATCATCTGGTTGAGAACCATGAGATTGTTTCTTATATTTCCTACAACAGTCTCCTGTATAAATCTGTATATATCAAGCCCCAAGCTTTCGATTTGTGCACTTATTTTTCTGACGTGGGATTTTTTTGGTGATGAACGATCAAGTGTCTGTATTTTATCAGCCCTGCTTACTCTTGGCCAAAGAAGTGTTTTTCTTTTAGACTCTGGAAGACCTGAAATGTGCTTTAATGGATCAGTTGGTTGATACGTACCCGGAGGAACTTTGGTGTGTGTCCATATAGTTGCTCATGAATAGGGTACTGTTTGTTCCAAGGCTTAACTCAGATGGGATTAGAGTGTTAAGAAAAATACTTTAGGGATGTCAGTTGCATGGGAAGTATGTTTTATTCTCATGGAAGAGTCTGAGGAAAGTGTTGTTTGCTGGTCGAAGCATCTTGTTTTGCAAAGTTAATTTGGAGTCTTAGTTCGCCAAAGGGCAGTCTAGAAGAGGTCAGTCGATTTATAGTATGTATTTCTGTTCTTCAATTTTTTTCTTCTTTTATAAACATAGCTTTTTTTCTCCACCGATATTGTCGACATCGGTTTTTGTATTTGGCTATAATTCAGTTTTAGACAACTGGCCTGTTTTAGTAGAGTTTGAGACTAGCTGTAGAGTTTACACTAGAGTGGTCCAATGGGGAAGGCAAAGGCGCTTGCTGCCAAGCCTGACAACTTGAATTTGATCCTTTGGAACCATGTGGTGGAAGAAGACCAACTCCCAAAACATGCACGAACACACACACACACACACACACACACACACACACACACAGGAATATGTTACAACTTACATTCCTGCATATAAATAAATAAAAACAATAAATTTTTAAAAAAGAATCTAAGATGCGTTGGTTATATAAGTGTGTATTCCTTTCGGTGATTGGCGGCTGTGTTTAGCACCTTCCCAGCATAACTCCTTGCAGTAAGTCACAGATAACTCTCTGCAGAGAGTTCAGGCAACTGTAATTTCTTGCATTATGTTAGGACATGATGAAGGAAGCTAGACTTTCTTGTGACCTTTGCCTTTTTTTTAAAAGAATTATTTATTTTTTTATGTATATGAGTACACTGTAGCTGCCTTCAGACACACTAGAAGAGAGCATTTGATCCCATTACAGATGGCTGTGAGCCACCGTGTGGTTGCTGGGTATTGAACTCAGGGCCTCTCGAAGAGCAGTCAGTGCTCTTAACCTCTGAGCTGTCTCTCCAACCCCTGACCTTTGCTTTTTAAGGTGAAACAAAAATCATTTGCTTAATCCCACTTGTTAGATTGTCAAACAGACTCAAAATTTTATTACCTGGGCCAGAGGGCTGGCCAGCTGGCTCAGTGGGCGGAAGCACTTGTCACCGACACTGATGGCCTGAGATTGGTAATCAGAACCTGCTTGCTAGGCAGAAAGAGCTGACTCCCACAATTGTTCTCTTACTTCCATGAGCATGCTCTGTGTGTGTGTGTGTGTGTGTGTGTGTGTGTGTGTGTGTCCAGGGGAGGAGGGACGGGACATGCACAGATAAAATTCAAGGGCTACAGAGATGACTCAGTAGTTAAAATAGTGTACTGCTCTTACAGAGGACCACAGTTCAGTTCCCAGTACCCATATTGGGCAGCTCCACAGCTGTCTGTAACTCCATCCAGGGGATCTGTGCTCCGTGGCTTCCAAGAACACCAGCACACGTGTACATAGGCACACAAGAATATACATAACTGAAAATTTAAAAAGGTTTTTTTTTTAATTTAAAGAAATAAGTAAATTGAACTGAGAATCCAAGGGACATTTTTTTCTTTAGATATTACTAGTTATTTCTGTAAAAGCATTTCCTTTTAAAACATAAAACAACTAAAAACAACAGTGTAAGTTCATTCTCAGTGCACAGAGAGCATCTGTTGTGTTTATTTGATCCTCCTCCTCAGTCTTTTTCAAAGCATCTCTATTTTCTTCGTGTTTTGCATGTAAATATAAATGGGTATTAAAAACAACATATCTAGGTGATGACTCTATCAGTACAGTGCTTGCTGTGTAAGCAGAGAACCTGACTGAGCTAGATCATCACACCTACACCAGAAGCCAGCCCGTCAGTGTGCATCTGCGGTCCCAAGCCCAGGGAAGAAGAAATAGGTGACTCTCTGGGGGCTTGCCAGCCAGCCTAATTGGCAAGCCCTAATTCCCAGGTGGATGGCTCCCGAGGAAGGACTTCACAGAGGAAGGTTGTCCTCGGAGCTCACACGCATGTGCATAGACGCCCCTCTCCCAGTACACTCGTAAATAAACACACTTTGAAAGTATGGTTATTTCTGTTGATTCTTTTGAGACAGGGTCTCACTTTGGAGCTCTGGCTGGCTTGGAGCTTGCTATGCAGTCCAGACCAATCCGTATTTGACTTGACTCAGCCTCTCAAGGGCAGCGATTAAAGGTGTACACCACCGTGCAGAGCTTCTGTTGGTTCTTGATGACTAATGACTTTTCCCACCCACAGGGTCCCAACCTGATTATCAAACAGCCGGATGAGTTGCTGGACAGCATGTCAGATTGGTGCAAGGAGCATCACGGGAAGGTAACATTACCAAATAACAGGATTGCTGCTTTGGGGATCGGTCACAAGCTTGTTGCTTCCCACATCTGACTCCTGTGCCCTTGGTGGACTGTGTTATAAAAGGGTTAGAGGACAGTGACTTAGGCAAGCCTGGGCGGCTGCTTGCTCATTTGCTTTTCACTCTGGGACCTCTCGAGATCACCTTCTCCTGAATGCCCTCTTTTTTTTCTCTCTTCTACGTTCAGTCTGTCGCAAACGCATTGTGGAGTTTCGAATGTTATTCAAGTCAGTCTTTTGGATAAGGTTAGACCTCGGCCTGCAGAGAAGGGGGACTACTGCTCTCCTGTTGGGAGCTGTTTCTTCCCAGAGGTTCTATCCTTGGACTCTGAGCGCCATCTTTTCTGACTGTGGAAGTGATATTAATGAATCAGGAACGTAACTTAGTTCGGTTCGGCTTCTTTAAGACATGAAATTGGTGTAAAAGATGGCAGTTTCAGTTCAAACTTGAGCCCCCAAGAGCGACCCAACTGTGGTTAACATTTACCTGTTTTAGAAGTGAAGTTTCCTTTTCTGGATACCTTTGAAAACTGACTTCATGTGTTTCTGGTGGGGGCTGGGGATTCTCTCTTGCAGTCTGGTCTTACCAAGGCAGTGAAGGAGAGTACAGTTACATTGCAGCAGGCAGAGTATGAATTTCTGTCCTTTGTACGACAGCAGACTCCTCCGGGGCTCTGTCCACTTGCAGGTAAAATCCAATCCTATGTCTATCTTGTAGCTAGTCTTCTGTAGTAATGGTTCAAGAAACTGACGTTCCAGAGAGACCAGTTGAGACCATCTTTGCCTTCCATTCACCTGATTCGGAGTACTCTCACTTTTGTATATTGGTGAAATGCCTTGGAACTCGATCTGAGATCTGAGAAACACATGACCTCAGCAGCCCCTCCCCACCAGTGTTTTTATTATGGAAAAAAATGCCAGATGCACAGAAAGGTTGAATTTGGTCATTATTAATCTCTGCCGCCGTGGTGCCCTCTTAATTTTTCTTGCTGCTTTTGGACATTTGAAAACAAATGGCTGGCTTTAACATACTCCTTCCTAAAGTCCCCCCCTCAAGCGGCTCCTAAGAGGAAGGACATTTTCTTACATGACACAGTATTATTACTGCACTGGAAATAATTAATCCCATTTAAGAATATCCGTGGTACCCAGCCCACATTTGAAGCACCGTGTCTGTTTTTGAACCCAACGTTAGCCGTTGCTCATATATGTTTTATTTGGTTATTTCGTCTCTGATTGGCTAAAGTCATTCACCTATCTTTTTTTGCCCCTCTTTGTGACACTGATGTTTTAAAGAGATGAGATCTACTATTATAGGATCTTTAAAGGGTTGGCATTGTCAGAGGGATGGTAAATGTTCTATGGGGGTGTGTTTGCATTTCTGTATGTAAATTAATGTGGTAACTAACATTTTAAATACAAGGAAAAGTTTTGGCATTACACATAAGAGAGCATATTATTGTATAAAAGTCTTTTTTTCCTTAGCCAGTGTGGCTGATGTCTATTTTAAAGTTCTCATTTAAAAATCCAGTGTTTATAATATAAATTACTGTATGAAAGCCTGAATGTGGATACGACTTATCAAAAGTATTGGAATGTAAAATAAAGGTTTATCTACTATATGGTTCAGTTAAATTTTTAGTGTTAGTAGTGTGGATTTTGTGACACTGGGAACAAGTTTGCGCATCTGTCTGGTAAGAACTTGAAAAGTAACAGACTTAAACTCTTTAAGTGCACAGAGTGCGAGATGCTCGCGCTGCCCACAAGAGGCCGCTTACGAGTTTCTTGTGAACTAGTCCTGCTGGGGAATCTGGATTTTGTAACTACCCTGAAGTACTCAGACTTGATGGAAACATCCAGAGATGCATTTTAGGAACTATTTAAAAAAAATAACTTCTGTTTCAAGTATGATCTATGAATGTCTGTATCGTTCTGTACACTGTTAGAAATGCGCAGACGCGGTGTGCTTCGTGTCTTTCTAGGGAACTCAGTTCATGCAGATAAGAAGTTTCTTGACAAACACATGCCCCAGTTCATGAAACATCTTCACTATAGGATAATTGATGTCAGCACTGTTAAAGAACTGTGCAGGTAAGGGCTGTATTTAGGATCTGTTACATTGCCTCCTGTAGCATGTCGTAATCGAAAACTTGTAGAAAATCATGGACTAGAATAGAGGGTGCTGAGTGGGTGTCTGTCTTCCTCATTCCAGTCTCTTTTCTATGGGTCTGTATGCATTCCGAGTGGTGAGGCTTGGGAGAAATGTCACAGGCCTTCCATGCAGATTTGGTTAAAGCAGAGAATGTATATGTTGGCCTGCCCACTGGGAACGCAGAGTTGACAAACTCCTTGAGTAGCTCAGGGTCTAGTCAGTTGACAGAAGTGTTAAAAAAAAAACCACCTTAAAAATAAACTGCCCGAGGACTTGTGCAACAGGGGTGCTCATGTAGAATATGAGGGGACCAGGAGGAGCTTCTGCTGGAGCAGAAGCGGGAGTCAGAAAGTTTTATCTGGCCCGCAGTCTTTTGAATGAGATTGAGGATTGAATGAGGAACGAGGATTCCTGAATTCGAGCAGAGATGGGAGGGTGCTAGGGAACCGAAGGCTAAGACAGAACAGGCACAGGATGCTGGCGTAGAGCACAGTTAGTATGTGTACCCAGCATGCAGGAGCTCCAGCAGTGCGCATTCAGGGTTTAGTAATACACATCTGTAATTCCAGCCCTGGGGAAGATGGAGGCAGGAGGATCAGGAAGCCGGTCTGGGCTGTATGACACCCCATCTTAAAAAAATCAATGTATGTTAAAAGGAAATTACATGTTGTTTGTTAAATGTTGAGGTGGAAAGGTTGAGATTGGCCAAGGTGAGACCGAGCTGGCGTGTGTGCCTGTTCAAGGCGTTTGATTGCATCTAATGAGGGCGTGGCTCCTTTGAGAGAGTTTTAATGGAAGAGGGAGAGAAGATGATTATCATCCTGCTTAGAAGGTGGCAAGTACAGTGGTTGGGGGAAAGGAGGCTTATGTATCATTTCGGGACAGAGACAGACACAGCCACTGGGTACTTGGGATGGGTAGGCATCAGCTCAGCAGGCATGATGCCCGATGCTTGGGTGAGGGAGGAAAGAACGGTAGACAAGGGTTAGTGTTTCCAGCTGAGGCAGCTCAGATGGGTGGTGGGACAGACTGTTCCAAAGAAAAGGAGAGACCTGAGAATCACAGCTGCACCCATGGATGGGAGTGGAGGATGTGTGGTCATGTATGCATATGTGTATATAAAATTAGAGGTGTCTAGTGGGTTGGGTGGAGATGCCCAGTAGTTAGATACGTATGCAGGACAGAGATTGTGGTGAGGGCTGGGTCGGTGTTAGAGACTTGGGAATCCTCTACACGGACAGGCTTGTTTAAAGAGAGTACCTAGGGTGAAGAGAGGAAAAGCCTTTCTCTGTAGTGCATCACTTGGAGGAGGCTGGAGAATGTAGCTCAGTTGGTCGAGTGCTTACTTAGTATGTAGTTGATTCCCCACCCCTCATAAACCAGGCGAGATGCCTGTTACGGTACTCTGGAGGTGGGGCTTGAGGATCAGGAGGCCAGCCTGAGCTACCTGAGATTCTGTCTCAAACAAACAGAAACCAGTAGATATATGACTTGAAGGTGCTTAGTGTGCTTGAGATGGCTTCCTTTCAGAGTTTATAATTTTTACTGTGTATAGACGCTGGTATCCAGAAGATTATGAATTTGCACCGAAGAAGGCTGCTTCTCACAGGTAAGATTGGGACCTACCAAGGGTCTGCCAGCTCAACCCCAACTCAACACATGCTCAACCCCAACTCTGACTTCTAAACAATAACCTCTCTTCTCTATTCTTCCTTATTGGGCAAAGGATAGGTCTGAGTAGTGGAAGGGAGGCAAACTTTCTTACACCAAGTCCCAGCATAGTTCGTCAGGATTCTTGATTTGGTTCTCAGTCTTTGACTTTTTGGTTTTTATTTGTTTTATTTTTAGCCATATAGTCAGTTACACGCTTAAAACTTGGTTCGGAAGTAAGATGAGACAATTTGTGACCTTAGTGGCAGCTAGCACTGTCGGTTCCTTTCTCCCAGAGGACGGGCAGACAGGTGTGGCCATCTGAAGGTAGAACACTGTAAACTCTTCTCCTCCCTGGATGCTTTTGCTTTTCTGGTGTGTCTGTGCTTGCAACCCCTGGCATATATATCCTTTCTTTTAAAATTAGCGGCCATTTAGAGAGAACAGCTGACTGGTAAGGACAGTCTGAGGGAAGCATTTGGTTTCCTGATTTACCTAGTTGATGACACTGAGTACTGATTTGCTTAGATGATACTTTGCAGTGTCTAGTTTGAGGCATCACAGAAAGACCAGTCCCTGAGCTAGAATGGCCAACTTGCTTACAGGGGTATACCCAAACGATAGCGTGCTAATCCACTCCAAGACACTTTATCGGAAACACGAGGACTTGGAATTTTTTTGGAGCTTTGGCTTTTTGAGATTTTATTGATTTTCTTAGTGTGTGTGTGTGTGTGTGTGTGTGTGTGTGTAGGTGGTACATGTGAAGATACAGAGGACAACTTGCAGGAGTCAGGCCTGGGGGTTGAACTCAGGTTGTCAGGCTTGTCAGAGGTATCTTTACCCACTGATCCATCTTGCCAGCTTTTCAGTTTAGGAAGCTTTTAGTCACCTACATTGCTCCATCATTATGTCCCTAAGTAGATTTGAAGAAGACTGGCCTCCGTAATACAATAGGCAGACATTTCTACAAAGAAATGTGGCTACTCACACAAGATGGCATAACTCATAACTGTACGTAAACTTATGCCAAGACTGGGCCAGGCTTTGCCATACAGTGGGTTCTAAAAGCACCTTGAGATGTCTGTTCTGTTTTAGAGTTGTGGTAAGAGAGCAGTGTTGGAGAAGCACCTGCTTCACGGTCATAAGTACTGAGACCTAGGCTCAGTCCCCAGCACCCATGTCACAGTGCTAGGCGAGGTGCTGTGTGCTCTGTTCTCACCACTGAGGGGGACAGAGAAGGGCCCCTGGGGTTCCATGGTCTGCCACTCTAACCTAGTTGGGGAGCTCCAGGCCAATGAGAGACCCTTGTCTCAAGAATTGGATGGCATTTCTGAGGGTGATACCCTTGGTTGTCCTCTGCCCTACACATGCATACATGCATGTGTACATACATACATACATACATACATACATAAATACATATTTCCAGTGTGTCTTGATCATATCTATCCCAGCTTCCCCCTTCCCATCGCTACACCCCCTTCCCTTCAGACATTCTTTAAGTGTTCCCCTCCTACCTTATGTCTTTTTCTTTTTTTTTTTTTTTTGTGGGGGTGTGGATGGATTGAGACAAGATCTCTCTCTGTAGTCCTGGCTGTTTTAGACTATACTATTTAGCCCAGGCTGCCCTCAAACTCAAGAGATCTGGTTGCCTCAGACTCTGGAGTCCTGGGATTAAAGGTGCACAGTACTATACCTAACTTCCTTTTGTTATTGTTGTTGTATAACCTGCTGAGTCACTCATAGATGTGGGGTCATCCATCAGAATATAGGTGGCCCTGTCATGAAGAATATTGACCCCCCCACCTCGGCAGCCATTACTTGCAAATAGCTTTTCAGTTAGAGATGGGAAGCTATATATTTGAGTTTCAGTCCTCTGCCAAACACACACACACACGCACACACACGACTTAGGGAAAAAGTGGATTATTGCTTTAGTCACAGAAATGAATGCCAGGAAACTCCAGCACTCATATTTACACAGGGAACGCTCTAGAAGAGCCTTCAACGGCTGAGAAACAGCGTGTCGGAGAAGAAAGGCTGTTAGGTGGAGGCAGGCTGCCACTGGTCCTAGCACAAATTACCACAAGAGAGGAGGCAGAGCCTCCTTTATGGCTAGGTACTGTATGATCTGGATCATTGGCGTTCGTTAGGACGACTTAGTCAGGAGATGCGGTGGGTTTGTGGGTGTACTCTGCTTGGGGGTGTCCCTAACTATTGCATACTGGTTCCCAGACCTTGGGTCTTGGGCTGTTGCTGGTAAGTATTCTGTGAATGTGGACGGTTGCATTACAGAAATACTGTATATGCAGTACAGGTTCTTCTTAGGAATTCATAGTACGTGTTAAGTTAGCAAATGCTTTGCAGAGAACATTAGAAAGGAAGTGGAGATCCCCTCCACCGGAAGCGCACCGCAGTCCTCTGAACCGGTGTGGGGGATTTCTGATCTACTTTTAAAAGGTGAAACAAACAGCATCAGCTCCTCTCCACAGCAGCTTGTGGCCACTGCCTGGCTCCTGGGTGACTTGTAACAAGTCACCATTTTCATCTCTAGGGTTCGGGACATTTTTTTTTTTCTTCAGTGTGGTGTGTTTGCTTGTAGGGCACTGGATGACATTAGCGAAAGCATCAAAGAGCTTCAGTTTTACCGGAATAACATCTTCAAGAAAAAGACAGACGAAAAGAAGAGGAAAATTATAGAAAATGGAGAAAATGAGAAGCCTGTGAGTTGATGCCAGTTCTCAAGCCGCAGAGCCAGGCTCTCAGAAGCCACCCTAGTGTCTCTCTCTCCTGCTCGCCACTCGGCACAACACCTTTTCTAAAGAAAAAAAAAATTCTTTCTTCCGGTTAACTTTGCATCTTCAGACTCCACAAGCAGACAAGACATCACTATGCCGTTTCTTCTAATGTGCTGTTTCTGTTCGGACAGGGCGGCGCCTTTGTAAGCTTCAGGCCACGCCCACCCCTCAGTCCATATCTGCACTTGCTTATAGGCCATTCCTTTTGTTTGATTAATAAATAAAGCTAGTTCTATTGAAATGCAACCCTTTTGGTACTCTCTGCTCTTTACTTATTCAGTTGTTGAGGACAGGTTTTTTTTTTTCTTTTTCTTTTTCTTTTCTTTTTTTTTTTTTTTTTTGGAGACAGGGTTTCTCTGTGTAGCCCTGGCTATCCTGGAACTCACTCTGTAGACCAGGCTAGCCTTGAACTCTCGAACTCAGAAATCCGCCTGCCTTTGCCTCCCAAGTGCTGGGATCAAAGGCGTGCGCCACCACTACCCGGCGAGGACAGGTGTTTTTTAAATAGTGTGGCTAAGGCTTAAAGTCTCAAGGCAGTCGAACTGAACTGTGTGTTTCAAACAGGAAGTAAACTTACTTTCTTTTGTTTGTTTGTTTGTTTTTGTTTTTTGAGACAGGGTTTCTCTATATAGCCCTAGCTGTCCTGGAACTCACTCTGTAGACCATGCTGGCCTCGAACTCAGAAATCTGCTTGTCCCTGCCTCCAAGTGCTGGGATTAAAGGTGTGTACCACCACTGCCCGGCTGTAAACTTACTTACTTTTGCTTTTGGAACGAGAGTGGAGTGAGGAGCTAGGTTGTGAGATTTGGGCTAGACTCTCTGGGATAGACTACTCTCCACCATGTTCAGGAAGTTTAGGTAAGCACACAGGAGTCTGTAAGTGGTTCCCAGCCTCAATTGGCTAGAGAATGTGTACCAGGCAGTCTCTGTGTTGGATTTATAGCTCCAAACTAGCCTGTTCCCTTAGGTAAAAGTAGCCAAGAAGAGATTTCAGTGTGAATATGTTAACACCCAGTCTAGCTAGTCAAGACTACTGGATGGCACCTCGTTCTTACAAACAGTCCCCAAAGGCTATTTAGAATTGGGAAAGGTTGGCCTGCCTCTCACTGAGAATCACCAGAAAGAGACTTTAATGATGGTCTCAAGTTATATTGCATACATAGAATAGAATGGTCCTAATGTGTGCTGGTTCCCCACCAGAGAGCCCTAGGTAGTGGACTTGAGCGATCCAATATTTTCACCTGAGATACACTTGAACATGGGCTGAGTTGTAGTTCCTAGACATCTCCAGGGAGATACATGGAGGTTTTTGGTGGAACTTCTGCCAAATGAACAAAATCAGCTTCAGGGTCACGTATCGTATAAAAGTCTGTGGGGGCTGGAGAGGTGTCTCAGAAGTTAAGAGCACTGGCTCCTCTTACGGAGTACCTGGGCTCAATTCTCAGCACCCATATAGTGGCTCACAGCCATCCCAGCAATCTCCAGTCTCAGGGAATCCAACACCCTCTTCTGGCCTCTGTGGCTGTTGAATGTGTGCAGTGTGCATAGATATGCATTCAGGCAAACACTCATACACATAAAAATAAATATAGAAAAGTTTGAATAGATAAAAAGGGCCAGAGAGAGCTCAGCAGTGAACAGTGTACACTGCTCTTGCAGAGGACTCAGTTTGCTCTCCAGCACCCTTGTGTAGAGCACAACCGATTAATCCAGCTCCATGGGATCTGGTGCCCTCTTCTGGACTCTGAAGGCACTGCACCCAGACTCACATGCAACATTTGACTAGATCAGCAATTTTCAACCTTTCACAGAGGTCGAATACCAGATAACCCTGCATGTCAGATATTTACATTATGATTTGTAACAAAGCAAAAATTACAGTTATAAAGTAGCAAGGAAATAAATTTATGGATGGGGCTTACCATGACATGAGGAACCAGACGGGCGCTGTAAGTGGGCAAACTGTGTGGTATTGGTAGCAGTATCTGGATCCCAGTGTCTTGGCACCCACTCTTGCATTAGAATCTGTAGCATTCCTGAGTTCTAAAGTACCAGCAAAGACCATCTTGCCAAATTTTAGGTGTTAACATAAAGCCTCCCCCGGCAGTACTAGGTAGCTAGGTAGCCATCATTACTGGTACTTACTGTGTCGCAGGCACAGAGCTCGGCGCTCCAACCATGGCATTCAAGTTCATTCTAACAATTCTCTGAGTTGGGTATCATTAATGTTACTTTACAGATACTGAAAATTGAGGTTCAGGTAAGTGAACTTGGCAATACATCAGGAGCTTGAATTCAAATTGAGTGTTTGAGATGGAAGCCCTACTCCTAACTGTACTACCTCATCTGGTCTTCTAAAACATGGATGCTGTCATAAGCCATGTCAGAGAACAGAAATAGCCCTGGTCACATACAGCTGTGGACTTAAGTTTTTATCTAGTCCTGTGGTCCTTAGCCTTCCCAACGCTGTGACCCTTTAATGCAGTTCTTCATGTCATGGTGAGCCCCAACTATAAAATTATTTTCATTGCTTTATAAAATTATTATAGTTGCAGTTTTGCTACTGTTGCGAATTGTAATGTAATCATCTAACTTGCAGGATATCCGATAGGCTTCTGTAAGAAGGTTGAGAACTGATCTAGTCCAATGTTGCATGTGTGTCTGGATGCAGTGCCTTCAGAATCCAGAAGAGGGCACCAGATCCCATGGAGCTGGATTACCTGGTGATGGTGAGCCACTCCACTGGATGTTCTTGTTGGATGCTGGAAACCAAACTCTGGTCCTCTGCTTTTGTCACACAAATGGCTACCTTCCTGGCTTAGCCCTTTGTTCTGTATCTTGTTTAATAAAGCCCGTCATCCTGAAATAAAGCCCATATATTACATTTAGTGGAATGATTGGCAGCCCTGGCCTGAGGTGAGTCTGCAGACAGGCCTGACAGCTCGACACCGAGGGATACTTTTTACTGTGCTTAGGAAGTGAGGTGTTCTCTATACTGTGCTGGCACATTGGGTTTCTTAGGGGATCCATGGATCTCTAGAGTAATCTCTGTGACATTAACATTGGTTTAAATGGCAGCTTCAGCTCAAAAACCCCAGCACATATGCCACTCAGAGACTGCTGCTCTCGGGGCCTCTCGCTGGTGGTCCATGTAATGATTCTCCTGCAAGCTGTATTCGTGGGGTGATTACTACCCCTCCAGACGACTCAGGAGGTGACCGAAGCAGCACCGAGGGAAAGACCCACCTTTTCCCAACAGCATTTCACAGAGATAGGATACCTGAGTGGGCTCATTTACAAAACAATACCATACAAAAACCAAAACCAGCCAGACAAAAACCTGACAAAGGCAGAGAGAAACTGATCTTTGTCCATTTTTCTTTTTTAAGACAGGGTCTTACTGTATGGCCCTGGTTGTCATGGTACTTAGCCCTACAGTCCAAGCTGGCCTTGAACTCAAGATCTGGCTTCATCTACCTCCCAAGTGATGGGATTAAAGATGTGTACCAGGTACCAGGCCCAGCAAAACTGGTCTTCTTCTATATGTGTGCTGTAAAGGAAAAGGTAATAGCTAGTCACGTCAAGGACAGGTCACACTGACCACCTTGTGGTTGTGCACGAGTGTCCCAGGGTCATCCAGATAGCTCCCAGTTTTGGAAAATTAAAAAGCAGTAGAGACAGTAGAGAAATTGTTTGTGTCTGCAATAAGCCGTAAGCAGCAGATTGATGACAGCAAAAGACATTTTATTCTGTATCTGTTGATGAAGGCAAAAGCAATCAGGTTATGGATTTATTGCTCTATGCTGCGCATCTGTTGGGAAGATTGAATCATAGATATTTAAACAAAACCTTTCCTTTGAAAACAAGAGAGCCCAGGAAAAATGTAAACAAAGACACCTCTTCCAAAACCTTGCTGAGGTAAGGATTTATGTCTGCGTTCCACTAGAAAGCAGGCTGATTCAGCAGGGCAGGTTGGAAGTGGAGTAGCCGAGATACTGCTTGGTCAGTCTGGATTATTTAGTGAGCTTAATTTTGCACATGGGTTGTGAGTTTAGGATACAGTAAATGAGGGCATCGCAGGAGAACACATGCTAGGAGTTGGAGAATTTGAACGTGGAGCAGAAGCAATGTTCTTGAGCATCACATGAATGAACATCCCATGAGCATCGCATGAGTGAACA